TCAGGTCGTTTTCATCCATAGCAAAGACTTGCACTGTGGCTGTTCCCAGCCTCCTAGTGGCTGGAGCCGGATGCTCGTGGTGGCCACTCAAAATTACCGATGGAAGGTCCCAGCGTCATTTGTTTTATTTCCATGTCACCGCTTTCCTCTGCATCCGACTCCGCTCAAGCGTAATGCGACGACACATACAGAGAATGTTCTACATCCTTGACTGTGACGGTGGTCGTGAGTTTGCGACCAGAGGAGTCGTAAATATCGGTCAGTGAGACCAGCGCTATAAACACTGATCGACTGGCCGCGATCACCTGGTCCAGGTCGCATTCAAGCAAAAACTGTGTTTTAAACGCCCTCTGCACAAATCCCGCGCCCTGTAGCATTTAAATTATGCGTTGCACCGCTTCTCTTTGATTGTGGTAGCTCGTGGTTTCTATATTTGGTCCCCGAATTGTTTTGATCATCTCTGGGTTCTAAGATCGTAAGCACTGAATCCGTTAATAACAAAGTTTAAAGCTAGATCCTGCGCAAAACTACGTTGTAGATGATCCATCTTCCACCCTTCCTTATTTACCTCTGCCGTACCGCTCGTTCACTGATCGTTAACTTTGGGGTCAGGCGCTCGTATTTTTTCAGCTGTAGCCTTTGATCTTTATTCTTAGTATGTAATAAAACTATATTATAACATTTAGTTTATTTAACGTAACATGTCCTGCTTAAGCTGGACATGTACCATTAAGCAGGTCGTACTTTACAATACGACCCGCGGTGGTCCCTGAAGGGATCTCAGAAAGAAATAGTTTGAATCATTCGAGATCAGCTGGATGATCTTACCCTTCAATTAGCTTCGTCCAAGCCCCTAGCGAAAATCTGTCGAGCTGAGGCCCCTTTAATGACCACGTGTCTGCGACGATCTCCACTTAGCAGGCACTTCCATACCCGGTGTAGCCTTGACCTTAACATTTTCGCTCCGGGAATCACAATGAACCTGAGTAACTAGAAGATTTGGGGACGCGCACCATTGTAGTGAGTGGGATTTTCTCATCTACGAAGCGATCCTGACTATCCAATTGCGCCAGGACGACCAACTAACGGAGGGGGTACTCCGGACCGTGTGTCTTGTCTTGTTCCTTCTCATCTTTCGTGCACTTGAACGGGCGGTTTTTCTCTTTAAGGTGGGTTGAAGTTGATGTCTGTCTCGACCAAGTTAGAAATAAGTTGGACGTGTTCACGAAGGTCGCCTTGCTTGAATGTGGATACCTGGTCCCCTTTTTCTTCTGAGCACTTGAGCCGTCTGAAGACCTTTCCTTTAATGCTTGCCGCGTCCGACCCCAGGCTATTTGAATGATAATTCTTGTCCCTAGCCAAGCATTATAGGGACAACTCTTAACAAACACAGCAAAACTTGAACGTCGGGTGGCCACTAATTATCCAGCCCGGAGGGGTTCTGACGCGTACCTTTCGTATGAAGATTAATACTTCTCATTTTTAACCTATTTAAGGCTAGAACTACGCTTTTTCTTCTTTATTTTTAAGTTTCCTTTACTTATTTCGTCCCCCGGCCAACCAATTTCATGTGCTTAAAAGTAACCCACCTCAACCGCTGGTCATTATTAGTAACCACGACCGCTGGTCATCAGAGTGACCGTAACTGCTTAAAATCCGTAGAAGACTATACCCCTAATCCTCCATAGTGACTATGATCGCTGATCATTTAGAGTGCCCATGACCGCCGGTATTCATCCCTGACCTCAGTCGATATTTACTGTCTGAGACCACAACTGTTGGCCTGTCAACTTTTCAACACACCGTTGGTACTTTATAGCGGTCAGTCCTAAGGCCGTTTCGACCGGTCTCACATTTGCCTGTAATAAGAAAAGAGGCGATTGATCATAATAACTCTAGACACTCTACCACATTACTAACTCAGCAACATCTTCACAGAAAATTCAAGTATCACCATCTTAGTAACAGCAACGATAGAAGTAGCACCTACTCCATCACGTCCTTATAAGGAGGTTTCTTGCGATAAAGGGTTCAGCAACATATTATAAGCTCCATCAGCATCAGCTTCAGCAACACTGTAGCGAAAACAGCTTCAGCTACGACAGCACCAGCATCAACAGTACCAGCACCTTTAGCATCAGCAACATCAGCTACATCGACGAAAATGCCAACAAAGAATTTGTCATCTAGCTACTCTAGCATTGACAACTTCAGCAAGAACGCCATTAATAACTGCTAAAGCAACGTCTTTACAGCATAAATTCTAGCAACAATAACACCAGAATTATAAATCGAGCAATATGTTTACGACCAATTTAAGCAACTGCAACGTCTTCAATAGAAAAGACAGCAGCAAACCCGACTCCAGCCATATGTTCAAAAGTAGCCTGTTCAAAAAGGACACGCTAACATTGTTCTCGATAGCACCTTAAGCATAAGTGACATTAGATATTTGACGTTTGGCGGAACCCCTTTGTGGGTTTACAGTACGTTTGTAATGCTGCACCCTTTGTTTGGGGTGCCACGAAACTTCACGTACACTCGTACGTGCAGACGAAGCTTATCCACTCAAACAGCTAGTTTGGGAAAAGAGTAAAAAGAGAACTGTATTTAATATAATTAAGCTATCAATTAAACTTTAATCTTTATCTAACTATACTAAATTACGTCGTCGTATGACGACAACCTGCTTACCACTCATTGCGCGCGTCTAGCAGCGATTGGTGGTAATCGACGGTTAGTATGCCTTTACTAACCAGCAGCGCATTAAATCATCCTAAAAGGTTATAATATCCCTTTAACATTTTCCTCCCGGATAATATTGGTAGGATATTGTCAGGATAGACAATATCTCTATTGCCACCGTTTGGTGTCATTATTATGTAACGGACTAACGGGATACCACGTTACACCCCCCCCTTAACCATCAGTCACCCGTTGATTGAAGACAATTGGTTGGGACAGGGTGACCACCGTTAGATCACTCTGGAAATTGGAGCACTTGTTGGTCGAATTCCATTCATTTGCCAAACCAACGCATGGTTTCAAAAATCACGCGAGTTGCTACTGCAGCCGCGGAAAGTGTCTCTCACCCCTCAGCAGCAGGTGATTCGTCGCCTGTTGTTGTAAATCGTCCATGTGGTGAGTCACCACGTGCGACAGGTACATCCGCTGCGTCTGCAGCGGGTACCACGAGTCATAATCAAGAAACGTCTGAAAGAGACCTCATCTTTTTCGGCGAGTCGGATAATGTATCCGAATCGAAGACGACACCTCACACCCTCGGATCATCCGGGGTGGACACTGCAAGAGCTAGGTTGACTGGCTCTGGTGAACGTGGCGGTGTCATGTCCGAAATCTTCGGATCAAGTGACTATTCCGACGAATCCTCGCCTCACGCAAGTCCATTAAACGATAGGACGCGTGGGGATGGTGGTGAAGCACCTTTATATCACCACGAGCAAAGCTACTCGAGGGATCAAACTTCCACTAGTGTCAGTGCTCATGCTGACACCAATTAAGAGGCCAGGGACCGAATCGTCTTTCGCCACGCTCCTCAAGTAAAGTTTATTGGATGCCGTTATCCAAAGCGTTGGACCGGTTGCCGGCATTACTACCGAACGGGTCGAATTCCGTTGTTCGACTTTAGGAGGATATGTCCTCCTAATTCCAGCACGGAAGCTGTTGTGCTGAAGAATGTTCTTCACCGATGTGTTCTTCAAGATTTGGTGGTACAATGGAAACCGTGGTCGAGACGGTCAAACCTTGGTGCAAATATGGAATGCCTTCATCTATAACAACGAGTGCGTTGGCCGTGAGGCCTGGCCTAACAAACTTGATGCAGCTCGTATCAGGTTTGAAAAGCGTCAATCAGTCGATTTACGGTTCAAGTTGCACCGGTTGTCAAGAGAGGCAGGATTACCCTGTCTCGCGTGGGGTGATTCATGTCCAGGTTGCCTGGACAACTCGAATCGTGTCCCTGGGGAGGCCTACTTCCCTGATGTTTTCTACTGAAGGGCGCGCATCTCTTCTGAGATGCCCGAAGGTATTGATACTTTGCAATCCATGTACTCGCGTTCGGGGAGGTCATTTTCCGACGGCCACTCTTCGAACGCAGCGGATAAATTTCGTTATATTGCTCGACGAGACCCAGGACATCAACGATCAGCTGGGAACGATGCTCCCAGCTGTCACAAGCCGGTGGATAGCCACGCCAGCGGACGAGGTAACACTTCCAAACGCCTTTCACGTCGCAATGGTTCAGAATACGCTCCACCAGAACGCGTTGACCATCGCTAGAATCCACCAAATGATGTGGTGGCGGTGGGACCACCTGATCCGGCTCGAGGGTCGGATCAGCTTGATCTTTAAAAACTGACCGTGTAACCGAACAGTTACAAGATGACCTGGTTCATGAACTGACTCGGCGTTATGGGCATGAGGATCTTGTAACGATAATTACAATTCCTTAGCGCACGATAGTTCGGACGATCGTGCCGCGTTTGCGTTTGCGCAACTTGAGATCAAACGTTCGACTCTTTCTCTTCGTGACGAGCTGGCTGTAGCTCGTCGAGACATCGCTGAACCGCGTGAGCAGGTCGCTTCGCTAATCGACCAGACTGGCTCGTTGAAACGGGACCACTCGAAGGTAGTCTTGGCTCTCGACCGTGGCGGTGTTCTTCGCCTCTCGAAACGGGCTCGTACTGATATTACGGGCGGAGAAGACCAACGTAACACGTAGCATGCGTAAGCATCTTACGGGGAAGTTTAATCGTGTATGCGTCTCCCATTCGGCGCAACACACGAAATGGACCGATGTACCTGGGCAGTAATTTACTGCTGCCCACGTTTGTCACTGCGTGTTTTAATAGATTTATTGTTTATTGTAAAGCCAAGCCTCATTAAGCAAACGAAAGAACATTTTCTCATCCATGTTTGTCTGCATTTCATCTCTGCTTATCTATTGCATTTGCAATAGAGTCTTGAACGAAGCGAAAAGCCTATTCGCGAGTAAGCAGAAATTCCTGTGCTGATTCATCTTTGTCAACAGCAGTGCGCTTCGTGTGCACTGCTGCAAAAACGCTGTCTTTACCAGTGAAAGCGTCATCGGCCTCACTTTGGCAGCCATTGGCAATGCTGAATATACCAGTATCGTCGTCATCATCATCATCAATATCAATCGCATCGACATCGGCATACATCACGTCGACACCATTGTCGACGGGTGATGAGCAAGAACCAGATCGGTTTTCGTTTGAGCGAGTCCACCCACCCTATCTAAACTAGAGTCACACTATAAGGAGGCGGGTAAACGTGGATGGCATAGGCCATTCACGAAGAACAGTGTATGCGTTGTCGACGCGTGCAATGAGTTGTTGATGGCGAATACCGCCATCGACAAGAACTCAGCCCAGCTCGTAAACGAGTTGACATACCCTCGAAGTATGTCTTCGAGGACGCGGTTGTCGCGTTCCGTCTAACCATCTATTTCTGGATGGTCAGAAATTGACATCGTCAAACGTGTTTCAAGTGAACGGAACACGGATTGCCATAACTCCGCTGTGAAGCGGGGGTCTCTATCGGACACGAGTTCACGGGGTAACCCGTGAAGTCGGAAGAATGTATCAATGAAGATACGCGCACAGCCCTGTGCTGTGATTGACTCCGGTACAGCTACAAGATGTACCATTGTGCTGAAACTATCAAACAACACAAGAATACCAGTATTCTTGTGGGCGACTTAAGGTAACGTAAAGACGAAGTCCGTCGATACGGACTACCAGAACTCTGACAGAATCGGTAGAGGTCGCAACAGTGCACGAGATGGAGTTTAGGCTTCACCCGTTGGCAAACTTTGCAAGCGCAGATGTATTTGCGCACAAACTCATACTGTTGAGGCCAGTAGAAGTAACAACTTACCGTGACGTAAGTCTTTTCTCTATCGCGATGCCCACTTGTTGGGGCATCGTGATACTCATACATGATGCGCAATCTCAAATAATTATGAGCCGGAACGACGACACGAGCTGTGTCGCCGTTGACTGCTAGAACAGCAGTCCATCACGAACAGAATACCGTTCGATTTGAAGAAGGGATTGAGACGACAAGCTTTTCAAGGCTTGACTGCACGGATTAGATATGTAATCCATCAATCGCAGAAAAGACTCATCTTCTAGGTATGCTTTTCGCACGTCGTCGAGCAGATTTGACGACGGAAAAAATCACTTACTATTAGTGTCGCTACAGTGAGATCACCCCTACTGTTGTGTTGAGCAGTCCTCTCTAAATTGGGCCGATGCGAAAGAGCATCAGCAACGACATTAAGTCGTCCTGGTTTATGCTCGACGAAGAAGTTGGACTCCGCAAAGAAAGACAGCCACCTCGCCATTCTTTGCGAGAGTTGTGGGCTGCTAACGGCCTTGCGTAACGACGCATGGTCGGTATAAACGATGAGGGCCAATCTCCTAAAGGATATGTCAGAAACTTGGCCAGTGCATATTTAATGGCAAGGATTTCCTTGCCATACAATGGGTAATTAAGCTCGGTTGCTTGCAGCTGACGCGATTGATAATAGACGACGCGCTCAACGCCGTCTGAGTCGTACTGCATTAACGCGCAGCCAATTGCAACATTGCTGGCGTCACAGACCACATGGAATGATCTGTCCTGGTCTGCAATCGCCAACGCAGGCGATTGCACCAAGGTTTTTTGTATACCTTCAAAAGAGTGCTGACACTCAGCGCTCCATGACCACCTCTAGTTTTCATTAGCTGACGAGAGAGATGTACCGTCATCTCGGCGTAGTTGCGCGAGTAATTGTGCAAGTACGCCGCCAATCCAAGCAAAGGCTCAATAAACAGCACGAAAAGCGCCGGCGATCGAGGATCACCCTGACGGACACCCGCCCCTGATTCAAAAGGGGTCAGTGGGCACCCATTAAACAACAGGGAGACGAGTGTACCCGGATAGAGTGCTTTGATCCAAAGTCGAAAACTGTGCCCAAACCCAAAGTGCATAAGCACCATATCCAAGGCACCCCAAACCACGCTATTGAAAGCCTTAGCGAAATCCATTAAAACTGCCTCAGCCAGAGAAACCTCGCCAGAATAGAGTTGATCCAACGCATGAAAGCGAAGATGGGCATGATAAATATCCCTTCGGAACAAGCCCATATTGATACAAGTGAAGAAGGGAAGGGAGACAGCGGCCCAGTCGGTGCGCCAAAATCTTGGGCCCTAATTTCGCATCTACATTAAGTAGGAAAATAGGGCGATAATTATTTGGGGCGGAAACATCTCCGTGCTTCTTAAGCAGCGAGAATTGCGCTCGGCGTTGAAACTTGGTCATTTCCCTCTCATGAAATTGGGCCGCATAAATCACCTCATAAATGCGGCTCCAAAGGGGAAGATCAACTTGATGGTAGGCCAGTGGTAAACCATCCGGACCCGGCGTCTTCGCGGACGCCATGTACTCGAATGCCCCATGACAAAAATTAGCAGTGAACGGGCTGTCCAAGTAAGCCCGATAGGCGGGAGTCAATCTTGACTTCGTATGCTCCAAAAGTCGCGAAAGCGCAAAACGATTTCAGGAAGGTTTCCTATGCTTGAAATCCCGTGAAGTCGAGCAGAAAACACTGGAAAAATATTTGCTGAACGTGGCACATGTAGTCTCCTACTGTTCAGCCAAACTCACAGGAATGGATGTCTTGTGGAGGACTTGGGGTGGCCGAAAGAAAATGCTGGAGCAACGCTCAGTGGCTTGAAAGTCAGAAGCGAATATTTGCTTGGACGAACAGTGCGCAGACTCTTCCAGTTTTTTTTTACCATTTAAGGCGGTTTTAGCTTCAGCAATAGAGGACGTTAAGTCCAACGAGGAACCCAGAACTTGGTCGTGCTGTAACCGATTAAGGTTAAGGTGGAGATCCTCGATAGCGCGTTGACGGGCATTCTTTTTGGGGCTAAATAAGTCGCCCAAACAAATGAGTCCCGCCGTTTGTGTTCGTCTAGTAGGTAGCCGGGGTTGTGACGCCATCGACCAGGGTAGAACGACGCAGCAAGGCGTGCGAGCGAGTCCCAAAAGTAATCTTGAGCCTCGGGTAGTTCAATGAACCACGATGAACATTTTTAGGGGTCCGACTGGGAGGCCGTAAGGCATAATCTAAGCTCAAAAGGATCAACCGATATGGTCTCCTATCCCAGACTGGGCCCGAAATCATGGTAAGTATCTTGAAAAAGAGTGAAAAAGCCGATAGTCCACAAAAACGTAGTCGATCCGGAAAGAAGCGGTCGGACTCGTGAACTCACGAAGATCCGGATGTTGAAGACGCCAGGTATCGACCAAGGTGAGGGCCGACATCCAGTCCAGTAATTCGTCACGGACTTGACGACGCGCACAATTTTTAGACCGAGCTTTGTCGAGCAGGCTTGGTAGAACTGTATTGAAGTCCCCCAGAACAATATGATGGGCGTCTTCCTCAAAAGGACGGGGAAGGGTCGAAAAGACTCCGATCGTAGCCCAGATTGAATGGGGGCATACGACACATGGATGTATGCCGGGACCGAGTCCGGTGTACCCCCAACCAGAAAATAGCGCAAAATTAGTTCCTGAGAACTGGCATAGCGAAGAGTAACGTCTTCAAGGCCTTAAATGGGCATGTCGGCGTAAGAAGAAGTCCAACACCCGCCAACCCGGTGAAGGAATCCATGTTGTCTTGAGACCAAAAACTCATGTTAAGGCAAGAAGCGGTCATTTATTGGTGCGTCGCCCGTTTAAGTGGATTATCCCCGTAATACGGTCTTTTTGGAGTCTAACGAGGTGAAATTGTTAGAGAAGTAATGAAGGTTCGATAACGAAACGTCATTGAATACTTTCGTATTAATTGAGTATCCCCGAAGGGTCCAACCCGCTTTGGATTAAAGCAGGAGGTTGGGGTGCCACAATGGTAGCCCTTCCCTTTAATAAATCTAAAGCGGGTCAGCGGGAGCTGCGGTTAAAAAGTCACTCCAACAAGGGAGAGAGAACGACCGACGCCAAAGTCGGGTCATCCAAAGAAGCCAAAGAGGGTGAGGCAGTGACAAAGCCGCCTTCCCTATTATGGTACCCAATTTCAGTGGGGTAAAGTAAATGCTGGTGCCACAATTTGCAGAGCCAAATCGAGCTCAGACAGTCTGACTTGACCCCAGTATTGGTCCTGATCCGGGCACAGTTGGCTGAGGACGGACTACAAGTCGAAGTCCGACTTATCTGGGATACAAGTCACCAAGTCGCTGCAAAAGTGACCCATCATCCGGTGGAGAAGGCGGGTGAGTCGCAGCGACACGAAGCAAAGCATGACCTAAAGCATCCGATCGTAAAAGCTGGTAATTGCCAGCAGCCTTGGTGTCAATCAGAACACGAAACAGGCTGAGTTGGGCTTGAATTGTGGATAGGACGCTATAGGGTCGTGTTTGAAAGCGAAGGTACCAAAAAATTCGTCAATCACCGAGCAGAGTTCCGTAAGCGTTAAGGTTTCTACTGAACCTTGGTAAACCGCCGTATTGCGAACGCGTCCGGGTACCGCCGGATATTCCACAAAGGAACTAATTGCTTAAGGGGGTCGCGAGCAGAAATCCACACAGGCATATATAGCTCGGTCGAAACGTGTTGAGAAACTCCCGCGAGGGCTGCACTCCGCTGTCTCGACTGTCTCTATCCGGAATGACAAGGCTGTTTCGGCCTTAGCGAAGACAGCATCGGTCAGACAAGAAAAATTCACATTAGCAGCGTCCTTGTACCAAGTCTGACGCCATGTGTTATCCTGCTGAGGCTCACTAGGTTTACACATGGGGACAGGCAGGAAAATGTTCAAATGGGTCGGACCGGTTACGCGCAGCAAAAACACTGAATACTAGAAAGGCGGGATAAGGTTCGGATGGGAAGAGCCCGTTTCACACCGTCGTAAACCCGCAGAAACACCGTAAAGCGGAAACGCAGAAATAGTAACGGATGGGCTGTACCGGTTACACCCCACAGTAACGTTGCGGTAACAACGATGGAACAACAATGTAACAACGCAGAGACGCCGTTAAACGGAGAAGCAGGATAAGGTCCAAATGGGCAGGACCGGTTACCTCCGCAGTAACGCCGGAGTAACGTTGGATACTGAAAAGGCGGGTTACGGACAGATGAAATGCACAAAGTACTCACCGCATTAACTTCGGATACCATGTAAAATTAATTGAGTGAAGCCAGCCGAAGGCCTCGAGAAAATCAAAGAAGACGGATGCCGTGGCTCTAATGTCTGGGACACCTAAGCAACCACCAGTCAAAAGGTACCTGAATTTCCGGACCAAGGTGGCAGTACGCCTACGTCTGTGTGTTCTCTCCACTCTACGTAGACTTAACTTTTTAACAACCACGCCCGTTCGGCCTAGCGTCCGGGTACGAAGCAAAATTAGCTCCACTTGGCGCCTATTGGCACTCCGTTCTTTTTGTATAGACTTCTCGTCTTCGAAAGAAATATTGGCGAAAGTGAAAGATGTTGAGAGTGTGACGAAGGTCGGCCGACCACTCTCGGCAGGCAGATGCAGCCACAATCGGTTTATAAAATGGTTGGATGGTAGAGAGCGTAAGAAACATTGTTTGTAGGATGTTAAAACAAATATCACTTCTACTTTCACAGCACACTCAATACCTATAATAGTCTAACAGTTTATGAGCCCAAATGGCGAAGAAGTTGCTGCGGCTGAAGGTCGCCAGCAGCGCAGGGCAGATGCCGGTCTCGAAAGGGCTGGCGCCCTGGAGGAGAAAGAAGAGGTCAAGGAATGACCAAGGGACACGCAGAGCAAGCTTCTGGACCTTCTCACGGGCTTCACGGAGCGCATGGAGCGCATGGAGGCGTCGCAAGGGCGACTGAAGGAGAAGGAGCGTTTGACGGGCCGTGAGGCCAGCGTTTTTGGTTCGGTGTTGGGGCAAAGTAAAGCCATGACCAGAGAGGCGTTGGATGTGTCGCCACCGAGGCGTGTGTCACCCGGCGTATCGCCATCAACGTACTTTGGCGCAAGAGAGCCTGGATATGCTGGTGCAGCGACCAATGTTGAGATGGCGCAGGCGCCGCAACCAGTACTGCCTCAGCATTACGTGCCACCACCCATGTACCAGCCGGCGCCCCCACCACACATGGCACCAGGATTACAATATGACCGTGTGCCGGATACGCGACAGAGGAAGCTGGGCATCCGACCTTTTGATGGCAAGGAATTGTATCAAGGTCTCGGAAGTGGGTTTTTATCGTGGGGCAAGAGATTTGCAAGGCAGATCATGTTCGCGGAGCGAGCAAGTGGTTTCCAGTGGAGTGAAGACGTCAAAGTAGACGTGCTAGGGCACCACTTGACCGGTATGGCCGAGCGATATTACAACCAACAGGTCGAGGGGTGGTTTGAAGAACAGCCGACGCTAGAGCATGCGATGCAGCGTCTACTCCATACGTTAGCGACCAAGATAACTCCCGCACAAAGCATGAAGATTTTTACAGCTCCCAAGAGCTCCAAGCGAAGCTGGAAGGAGAATTACCTGTATTTGGTGGCGGTGAGTGAAGCGTGTGGAGGTGCCGACAACCTAGTTCAAGACTACATCGTGCATTACGCCGACCCCAGTATGAGGGTGTCGATGTTGGCGAGGCTAAACCTCACGCGCATAGACTATTTGCGGCAGGCGGAAGAGCTTGTGCACTTAGCGCAGTCGACCGAGATAGAACTGCGCGGGAAGAAATGACGTGGTTAATACCGTCGAAAATGGACGCCGAGCCTATCCCAAGACCTGAACACACAATCGCAAGGACCGTCGAGATATGCGCACGTGCTACAAATGTGGAAAGCCAAGACATTTAAAGATAGTGTGCCCCGAGGGAAGTGCTGAGACAAGAGCGGCGGATGATGTTGACTTCGTTTTGGCCACAGGCGGATCAAGTGTCAAGGAAGATTACCGGAATTTCGATAGCGGATCGAGTCGACACCTAGTCAATGACGCTTCATTACTGGAAGACCCCGAGAAACACATCAGCGAGTGCGTTGCTGCGGATGGTGGACACTTGCGCATAACGATGTGTGGAAGTGTGATTTTTGCGACGAAAGTACTGGGTAAAAGAGCCAAGGTGCGTTTGACGGATGTGTACTTCGCAGAAAACCTCGAGAGAAACATTATTTCGTATGGACTATTGGAGAGTAAGGGGTGTGGAATATCATAGCGGGGCCAGTACCGTGTGTCAGCCGCATTGGACGAAGGGCCAGCTGTTTTTGACGTGGGAATACACAATAACGTGTTGGTCGTGCGTGCACAAAAGTGCGAACTAGATACGACGGGACGTGACGTGCTGATGTCAGCACTTGCACAGCACGAGGAGGACGTCGGACAAGATGTGAAGAAGGATAGCTAATGCAACTTCATAAACGGCTTGCGCATCTTAATTACGACGCCATAATTAGGATGGCCAAGGATCTCGCATCAGGAATACAGCTAACGGATGAGCTGCGGGCAAACGGCTTGGCTTGCGCCCAAGGGACGCAGACCAAGAACCCGCAGTCTCGAAGGGACACTGGAAGAAACGAACCGATCGACGTGATTGGAGGAGTTATAGGCTCCGACTTGAAGGGAACGATGACTCCACGGGACAGGTTGGGCAACCGCTACATGGTGAATTTTATCGATCATCGGACAAACTACTGTCGCGTTTTCTTGGCAAAGTCCAAGGATGTCGCAGCTCAGAAGCTCAAGCACTTCACGGTTTTTTTCGAGCGACAATTCAATTGTCGCATTCACGTTTTAAGGACGGACGGTAAAGGAGAATACAAGACTTTGGAGCTATTCTACAAGGACACTGGCATTGCGCGCCAGGTGAGCGGGCCACGTAATCAAGCAAGTAACGGAAAAGCGGAGCGAATGCACCGCACCATTATGAACATGGTGCGGAGCTTGCTATTTGCTTGTTGGATACCGTTAAGCTTCTGGGGAGACGCCGCGGAATATGCGGTGTAAATTCTTGACCGGAGCCCGAGCAAAGCGAATATGGGAAGACAGTCACCGTTGCAGATGCTTACGAAGAGCATCACAGACTTGAGCGACATAGTGGTTTTTGGCTCGCCATGCACGGTCCATAGAGATGCGCGTAACAAGTCGCTGGGGGAGCGTGGAAAACAAGGCATCATCATCGGCAAGGGCGATGAAATGAAGGGCTACAGGGTTTATTTGCCAAGGGAGAAGTCCGTCGTCGTCACACAGCACGTTCGAAACGTGGAGACACTGACCAAGGAGCAGAATGCGCAATTACGTCGTGTACATTCGACGGTTAAAGATGGAGAAAATGGCGAGCGTGGCGGTTATGCGTCGATGAATAACCCAGTACTGGTTCTATGAGAAAAAGCAAGGGACGAGGACAACGAAAACCCTGGACGCGCGATGCGCACATGACCGGGACGGCGGCGCAAAAGGCACGCAGAAACGATGAAGAAAGTAACCGGCCTGTTGAAGAGATTAATAGCGTGCGGGAGGAGGACCCGAAGAATTATGGGCAAGCCATGAAGAGTGTGCAGAGGAAAAAGTGGCTTACAGCCATGTCGAAAGAGCTTCAAGCGTTTGAAGACAACGGAGTTTGGTTGGTCGCAGTGCCACCAAATAATATTCACGTGCTGCACACAAAATGGGTCTATAAAACCAAAACGGATGCTGATGGAGCCATAGAGAGTATCAAGTCGTGATTGGTTGCCTGCGGAGATGAGCAGGTGTACGGAGCTGAATATGGTCTTACGTTTGCTGCTGTTATGGAGTTGATCACGGTGAAGGTCGTTCTTATGCTTGCGTTGCGTTGGGGAGTACCGGCGAGACACGGGGATATTCCCAACGCGTACGTGAAGTCTGATAAAGAAGAGCACTTGGATATCTACTTGGAGATTCCACAGTGGATGAAGATTCAAGATGGCACTCTACGACAATTTGGCGTACAAGAAAAATCGCACTTAGCGCTAAAACTGAAGAAGTCTCTCTATGGGCTCAAGCAGGCGGGCCATCTGTGGAGCCAATTGCTACACACCAGACTGGAGGAGGCTGGTTTCATGCAGTGTGAAACCGATACGTGCTTTATTGTAAGCGCCAGGGAGACGGTGTGACGTTTGTCGGCGTTTACGTGGACTATTTACTATTCGCAGCGTCAAGTCCGAGGATGGTAGAGCTGTTTTTCGAGGCGATGACATGTTTATCGATCAAAGATTTGGGCGAGGTTCGCAAGTTTCTCGGCATGCGAGTTAGTTTGGAGGACGAAGAGACGTGCACAGTGGATAAACAAGCGACTATTGAAGAAATGCATGAGAGTCATGGTTTGAAGGAGGAGAATGGTGTTCGTGCGCCTATCAGTGAAGAAGCTGACAAAGTTAGAAAAGGCCCTGTGTTACTGACAACGGGACCGAGATAAAGAGGTGAACCAACGATTCGCGATTTTCAGTCGCTTGTGGGGAGCTTACTTAGGATTGCAAGATGTTCACGTCCGGATATAAGCTTTGCACTTCGCAAGGCCACGCGGCGCACTCACCAACCTACTATGAGTGACTGGAAGCTGAAAAAGAGTCGCAAGATACTTAAAAGAGACCAAGAACCTCAAGCTCAAGATGATTGTTTCAAGAAATGAAGGAAACAAGATCAATTTGGCGAGTTGGAGCGACTCGGACTATGCGGCTGATAAGGTGGACCGGAAATCAGTCACAGGCGGAGTTTTAACTATGGACGGTGCTATCGTGCAGTGGGTGTGCGAAAAGCTAACAGGGTGTCGCTATCGACAGTGGAGGCGGAGTTTGCGTCGGCCTCGCACGTTGTGCGAAAGTTGCTAGGACTGAGGGAGTTAATGCGTGAGATTGGATTTCAAGTGGAGGCTCCAATGTCAATGCTCATGGACAACCAGTCTGTTATCAGACAGCTGGAGACTGAAGGAAGTGTGTCGAGTGTCAAGCACGTTGATGTGCGCATTAAGTTTATATGCGATTATGCGAGGAAGGTCATCGTGAGACCAATGTTTGTGGAATCGAGCATCATGAAGGAGGACTTACTGAAGAAAGTATTGCCGGTGCCAAGGGTTGCAGAACTACGAAAGATGTTCAATTTGATGTAGACATCGAGTGTGGGCGAGTGTGCGACGACCGAGGAGGAGTATTGGCGAAAATGCAAGATGGTGAGAGTGTGACGAAGGTCGGCCGACCACTCTCGGCAGGCAGATGCAGCCACAATCGGTTTATAAAATGGTTGGATGGTAGAGAGCGTAAGAAGCATTGTTTGTAGGATGTTAAAACAAATATCACTTCTACTTTCACAGCACCCTCAATACCTATAAAGTCTAACAAGAAACTGGTGCGGCTCCAGTCTAAATTCGACAAGGTTCCAACACCGCTGTTGCACAATGTGGACATTACCTACCGTTCAAGTGGCTGCGACCTAAAAATGGGTAGGCATCTACTTCTTGTTCATGCTGGTCTGCCTTTTCGGCTCCAGCACAATGCGCTATTAATTGGGTATCGGCTACGGCACCTTTCTGGTGCCGCTACACTATGTCATCACGGTTACGATGTTCTGGAAACGGCGCCCCAACTTTTTTGGTTCTGAGACTTCGCCACCATAGTTTGGGATAAATGGCTCGCTATTGTCCAGCCAATTTTGACTCGAATCTCGAATGGAGATAGGAGCTTTTTTTGCTATCGAACCAACACCGAGTTCAAAACGAGGTACGGTACAGCCTCTTCGTCGTTTTCCTTGTGCTTCGGGCGGTCATTCTTCGCTGCACTTGGATGCACCGAAATTGACATTAGCCTTTATGACCACACCGCCAACCTTATTGACATTCAAGCCCAAGTTCTTGCTGTGGTTACTCTTCGTAATGAATGGTTCTATCAAGACCTTTTGACCCGAAGCTTGAGCCACTGCAGTCTAACCCTACGGCAACGACGAGCTCTGTTAGGGACTTTACGGCTTCGGCAGTTTCGACCCATCAATTCCAATGCTGACGCCGATCCTCCAGATTGACGACCAAAGTATAAATTACCTGAACGGGGCGTCGCGCTCGCGGCTACATTAGGGCCCTCTATCGTTGTGGTATCGGGACTGCTCCAATCTATTGAGTGCGTACTCTATTCTGTTCACGGTTACGGCTCTCCTTATGGTTACAGTTAAGGTCTCCTTTATCGCCCTAATGAATCAGGTACATCTCCTTCGACTCGATTTGAGGAAGAATTTCAGGGTCCTCGCGTCGATTTTGGCTGATTGGCTTTGCCCTTTGCCTTGGTTAATGGTTCGGTTTATGACCTTTGGCTTCTACTCTTGCCAACCCTTGCGGGTATTTGGCTTCGCCTTGAGGCTTTTGCCTTTACTTTTGCGGGTCTTGGCTTTGGCTTTCGCCTTCGGCCTTGGGGCTTTTGCTCCTTTGCTTCATTGTTTGATTCCCGTAGTGATCTTATTGGATTGGCAATGCGCCTGTTTGGGGTCCCGGATACTCCGATTTGAGTTTGTTGCTACACAGTCATTCGGAGGGATCGGGATTGCACCACAGCCTCCTTCGGGAGGTTTTCAGTTTGATTACCAAGCCTGCTTTACGGTTAGCCTGGGTTGTGGGCATTCGTTTTCGTACAAAGGTCAAGTAACTACTACCTCACTACATCACCTAAGTGTTTACCGCAAGTCTCCTAATTTTGATCACATACTGAAATCAAGTCAACTCTTCCAATTTGCACCAAATGAAGCTTGAAGCCGCGCCAACTACCCGACAGACTACTTTTTGATCGTTTACCACTGCACCATACCGAACACGGGAATAGAGGGAAGTCGCTGACCTTCCAAACCATCAGCTCTATCCTTGCAGTTATGTACACATACTCAAGCCAAGAAATTTTCCGGCTCTCGACTCTTCGCCCACGAATCAAGCCGGTATTGAGTCGCACTCAGTATTTACCATTCAATTACATATTTAGTGTTAAAATTAAGTGTTACTATCGGTATACTCAATCACTTTTGAGTAAATTGTACTACCTCGCAATTAGACTACTAGTGACCTTCTTTGTCGAACATGCAATAGTTATGCATTTTGTAGGATAAACTGGAATGAAATTTATTCTCCTAGCGTCCGGGTATGTGTTTCCAACTAACACCTCTCGGTGCTTAGGTCGTACAACAAAAGTAGTTGAAGTCAACCAGTCAATTCCTTTCGGAGAAGACTTAGCACAAACACGGGTCGGTAAGCAGGGACGAGCTTCCGGTTAAAAACGGTAGACACGTAATAACAATAATGAAAAGAGGATCGGAGTCTAAAAGCTAATACTATACACGGCCCGAAGGGTGGTGAGGAGCAAAGGCTTGCAAGTCGAACGGACATGGACGAGTAAGTGTGGACTCGTCTTAGTCACTTGATCAATAGCGATCAGAATAGGGTTTAGGGTGTAGGGTGTAGGGTGTAGGATGTAGGATGTAGGGTGTAGGGTTTAGGGTTTAGGGTTAGGATAGGGTTTAGGGTTTAGGGTTTAGGGTTTAGGGTTTAGGGTTTAGGGTTTAGGCCCAGGTTTAGGCCCAGGCCCAGGCCCAGGCCTAGGCCCAGGCCTAGGGTTTAGGGTTTAGGCCGTTTAGGCCAGGTTTAGGGTTTAGGGTTTAGGGTTTAGGGTTTAGGGTTTAGGGTTTAGGGTTTAGGGTTTAGGGTTTAGGGTTTAGGGTTTAGGGTTTAGGGTTTAGGGTTTAGGGTTTAGGGTTTAGGGTTTAGGGTTTAGGGTTTAGGGTTTAGGGTTTAGGGTTTAGGGTTTAGGGTTTAGGGTTTAGGGTTTAGGGTTT